CCCGTGTCGTATTCCTGTTAAAACTTATTGTAGTGATTAACATATATGTGTGACCTTTCCTAATATAAAACATCAAACAAAAACAATATCACTCATAATGATGACAGGCCACATAAAAAAACACAAGGGCGTGACGAATGAATATTTCCCGGATATAAGTACAAGACACTATAGTGGCGTATAAGGGTCTAGACTTGTTATCAAGAGTATGTAAGTTATTTCAATTAGAGTGTACAGAAGCAGGCGATTGAATGTTTGTGCGCTTAACAATAACGTGACACTTTGTTGTTTTTAGCATTACGTATCTATTACCGAATGTTATAGGTGCAGTCACATCTGCGTCTCTCTCCATCTTTCTCTCCTTTACGTGTAATATGTAGACGAGGTCATTTCAAGCCAGACAAAGGAGATGACAGATAGGTGTCGTCAATGTGCTTGTTGTAATTTCTCATTTCGCAGTATCGTTATTTTGGCTTTTTGTTAAAGAGGATCTAAAAGGAAATGTTATAGATAGAATCAGCAAAAAGTGCAATACACGAAATAGAGGGCAGCTCGATGCCTGATATGGCCGACATCTCGTCTTTTCTCGCTTACTTGGTAGATTAAAACAGACATAAGCAAAATAGAAATGGTGCAGCGTAGAGCAGCCATGTTAGTCACCAATTAATTTAGAAACACCTCCAGTGTTGGTGACATGCTTCAACACCTTAACTGGCAATCACTTGAAGTCAGAAGGAGAGTCATGCGACTGACAACACTACATAAAACTATACACGACAAAGTCAATATAAGAAAAGACCAACTCATACCTCCATCCCGCCACACAAGACACGCACACCGGAACTCATATCAAACACTCTCATGTAAAACACAAGTACGACAACAATCTGGAATAACCTGCCTCCAGATATCACCTCCATTACCTCTTCTGACTGCTTTAAACTGTCCCTAAACAAAAAACAATTCTAACTCCCATACTTTATAAATATTCCCTTTCAACTATCTTTTATCTTTTCTTCTCTCGGCCTAGCACCCACTATCACATGACATGATCTTCAAATAGATAAAGGTGGTCATTACTATGTAGATGTAGATGTAGATTACTGCTCACTGATTGCTCGTATCCAGTTCGGCTAATCCCGTCTGTATACCATAGCCGATATAATGCCCTCTATGCAGTCTCAGCTATGGTGTTGATTACAGATTTGGGTCTTCCCAAGGTACTTTGTATATTATGGTGGACCATATGACTGGGATTCGAAAACGTTGGAAAAAATCAACTTACGCAGCAAGCGGCATTCCTAAATTATTTCACAATAATACACACATATATTTTGATATTTCTTAATTACAATATGTTATTTTTTTTTGATATATTTGATATCAGTGACTTCATACAAAATATCCCTTCATATAAAATATATATATATATTTAATTTAAATATGCTGTGGTTTTTATAGGAAATGATTGAAACAAATGAAAAGAATATTTTCATGAGAGAAGATTCGAGGTAAAAAGTACAAGAGTTATTCCCCTTGGCTGTCGAGAGTTTCATTCAGGTCAAATAGCGATCCAAATAAAGTCATGTGGTTACATTGTAGCAATGAGGAATTTGAGTAATAATCACTCCTTGTCGACGAATTAACTATTTTGTTGTAACTCGGGCATTTTGTATCAATGATTTAAGAACTATTTCAGAACTAAACTTCCTTGTTAGTAGCGTCTAAAGTCTCCGTGTTTACATTGTCATACATATTTACTGCTCTGTGATAATCATCAATCATTCCATTGTAAATTATAATGTCTTGTCAAAACCACAAACTACAGTTTGTCAGTCAAACGTAGAGGCAATTGAGGGTCAATATACATAACGAACATTTTTACCTAAATAGTAAATGCTCTAAGTACAGAAAATACACGGGCAATATATGTAATAATAAATGGTTGTTTATAAAGTTATAATAATGAGAAATAGTGAAATAAATAAATCAAATTATGAAATATCTTATACCTGTATTCATGTACGAAAATAGAGATAAATGATAAATGATATATTTTTGAATTTTCTGATGGCGCTAGGTCTTGTTACAGAAATCTTAAATTGATATTGATGATATACAAAATAAGATTCATCACAATCGATAGAGATATGTTTCATGTGGATATTTTAACCATGATTGCAATAAGAGCGGTATAAATGAGGCGATGAGTTATGTTTAATATTGTTGATCACATACCCGGACATTGGAAAAGGGGAACACCTTCTTTCCGCAAAGATGACCCCCACATTTATAGATACCTTTGTTTCTTTATTGATTTAATCAAATCGGTTTTTGTCTATAAGAATGAATTCTGAGTTCCAAAACTTTTTAGATAAATAATGTAGTTTATACACATCTTTTAATTTTCAAGAAAGTATCAGAAACACTCTAGAAATGATTCCTTTGTTGCATTCTTAGATAGCAATTCTTTACCACTGTTTGGCACGAGGGGTTGCTTCTAAAACTGTATAATTTAGGTTTCAAGGGCAAAATTTGGATATGTATACTGGCTTTGTTAGTAATGTTACATTTCATCGTCATGAAAAGGGGTATATTACAAGGTGTGTCCTTAGCGGCATTTTTTTTTTATTTTTTTTTTATTAACGATTTATTAAATGAAGTAGAATCGTCAGGAAAAGGAGCAATGATAACCGACTACAAGGTTAATATCCCTACACAGGCTAACGATATAGGTTATGGTTAATATCCCTACACAGGCTAACGATATAGGTTATGGTTAATATCCCTACACAGGCGAACGATATAGGTTAAGGTTAATATCCCTACACAGGCTAACGATATGGGTTTGATCAGTAACAGTAGTGTCGGTTTACAAGACTTGGTAAGTTATAGCTGGATGTGGAGATTTTCGTTTTTTTGTCAACAAAAATAAAAGTGTTGTCTTTAATAAGGGCAGAACACAAGTGTCTCCCTAAGACTTGTATTTATCTGAAAAATCTTTACCAGTTGTTGAAAATATTACTCATGTTGGTGTTCTGTTAAATTTTAAATTTCGTTCACCAGATAGAACAGACATAGCTTGTAAAAAATTAATAAGAGGTACAATGGCTTTTATAAGGTCTGGTGCTCACTCTAGAACTCTCAGCCCATAAACTGTAGCCAAAATAATTTAGACAAAAGTTGTTTCCGTCTGCTTTATATGGGTGTGAATTTTGGCAACTATCTAAAACAGAAATAAATTGATCGTGAAAGGTTTGGTTTGGTTTGTTTTAGTTTTGTTTAACGTCCTATCAACAGCTATGGTTATTAAAGGACGGCCTGCCCTGTGTGCAAGATGCATGCGTGTAGTGTATGCGTGTGTGTTTTGGGAGGCTGCGATATGTTCGTGTTTGTCTCCTTGTGATAGCGCAGAACTAATGCCGACTTTAGAGTGCTACCTCACTGAAACATACTGCCGAAGACATCCAGCAGGACATCCAACCGGTCACATTATACTGACAACGGGCGAACCAGTCGTCCCACTCCTAACTTGCTAAGCGCTAAGCAGGAGTAGAAACTACCATTTTTACAGACTTTGGTATGTTTCGGCCAGGGGACAATGCCCAAAGCCTTCCTCAAAGGGGCGAACGCTCAACTAAAGGCAAAAAATGAGGCATTGTCAAGGGAGACATTAGTAAGAAGCAAGTTGGTTAGAAAGAAGAGAAAAGATGAGATCCCAAATTTAGTCACCTATTACGATCATACCATGGGAGCAGCAGGTACAATTATTACGCCACGCCCTACCTGCAGGTACAATCATTACGCCACGCCCTACCTGCAGGTACAATCATTACGTCACGCCCTACCAGCAGGTACAGTCATTACGCCACGCCCTACCAGCAGGTACAATCATTACGCCACGCCTTACCAGCAGGTACAATTATTACGCCACGCCCTACCAGCGGGTACAATTATTACGCCACGCCCTACCTGCAGGGAATTATCGTGAAATATTTTTAAGATTTCTGTGCTTCAAATGCAGTACCCTAATTACATTGTGCTAAAATTTTGATCATAGACGAACAGTATCTTTATCATTTATGTTTCATGCAGTATCCCTCTACATGATCGTAAGAGGCGACTAATGTCGGCCCCTGCAGATTCAGGGCTGGTTTCTTCTTTTAAGGGGACATTGGAGGCATTAGTAATATACCTGCTGCATCCCACTGCATGTGTATCGTAATAGACGATTAATGTGGGCCCCCTAGAATCGGAGTTTCTACGAAGAGGACACAGAAGAGATAAGAATTGATCTGCTGCAACACTTTGGATCTTTTTCGTTTCCTATCTCGCTGTCTTCGCTCTGTCTTCTTTCTGTTCTATTTAATGTCTTTTCCATTGCTGTTTCCCTGGCTAGGCACTCGTCCTCATTTGACCCTGAACAAACAAACAAACAAAACCCATTTTTGTTCACCGATTTTTTTTATATCAACTTAGTGAATCATTTTAAATTGATAGGACTTATACATGTAAAGAAGTTGATTTACTGACATTTATGTGTGATAATATGAAACTTATAGGACAGCTTTATGTGAGATATCAACATTCTACTGATGTAGTTCAACACACGGACAATACGGGTTTGATTGATGTACTCACCTCATGTAGCAATATGTAAATGTGTCCGAGTGAATAAATAAAATCTGAAAATCTGAAATCTGGTAAAACGCGTTTATAACGAAAAACAACGGACCAGAAAATATCGTCCTCTACAGAATCACACGATAATCCCGATACACAGAGAACTTTAGTCGTCTGGGCCTGTATCCACGAATGACGAAATACGCTTGAATGACGTGACCTTGTAAATATCTACAAGGGTATTTTGCATGAAAGCTCACCAAAGCTCCTCCGAATCACTGACAAAACGTGAAAATGTTCAGTATTGGATTATTGGAACAGGAAATTGGACCCGAGAACAGAATCTGTGTTGGAGCATGTGACGGTTTCATGGGGATGGGTAACGTTCTCTACAATACATCCAGTACAATTGAAGAAATATGCAGCAACATCACGCCAAAAAGCCCTAACAAACTTTCTTTTTACAGGTATTTTTCTGATCATGCATGTAACACCCGATTATAATGTATCTAACAAAACGAGAACACGAAATATCTGCACAGTGTTCTTGTGCAAAGTTATAGAACATTTAAGTAATATAATAATCTAGTAAGACACGTTGACACACATAATTTCATGTTAAATTTCAGAAGAAACGTAGTCGTTAAAAACGCATTTAGGGCATGATCATACCTAAACAAACAGAACAGTAAACTGCTTTTAATTTAGTTAAAACCTAAGATAGGGATGTGGAAAATGGCGTTTTATTGAATAGTAGAACTAACAATGTCGAACGTACAGAACGTGCTTGTTCCAAATTAAAGAGTGGCGTTATGTCCTTAATTCGTTCTGGAGCACATCCATGAGCTCTGAATCCTTTAACCACTGCAAAAATTGTAAAGTGTAAAGTATAAATATCCCTTAGCACTGTATGGGTGTGAATTGTGGCAGATGAAGCAAAATGAAATTTACATGTTAGAAAAAGCACAAAACTTCATTGTCAAATCAATCCAAGGTTTTAATTTAAGAACAAGAACAGATATGTGCACGTCCTTGATTGGTTGGTTTTCGGTAGAAGTATACATCAGCGTAAAGAAAATGTTATTTCTTGGAAGAATATGTACCATGAAAGTTGGCTGTTTAAAACGCGAAATCCTTATCAAGCGTCTATTCGAATTCAACCTGTCTCAATTTAATAGAGGTTTTGTTCCCGACATTGTTAATATTTTACAAAAACACAATTTGTATCATGTTATTGATGAATTTCTGAAGCAAACAAATGTCAATGGAAGCGTTTAGTCAATAACCATGTAAAAAACTATGAACAGTTTATAGGGACTTCTCTCGCTTCACTCTTTAACATAATAAGATACAACCGTATGCTATATGGAAACTTGCTTTACGTTTTCCACAATACAGTCTATGTTTTAAGAAAGTTGTTAAAATTTGTGTTGAAATGCGCGATAATGAAAATATATATTGGTGTCATTACTGTGGCTCTATGCACACAGATACTATTATGCATGGTGTACTCGAATGCTCACACACAGAGCTATTACTGTAAAAGCTATAGATTTCGTATTTTATCTTAATGTAATGTCTAATTACCATCTACTTCATGTTCTTCTTGGTGGTATTTTCAACTATGATTTATCTCCATATGAACTGGAAGGAATTTAGAATAAAATCCATTGTTATTATTACTAAAATTCTTCAACACAGTGGTTTTATGTAATTTATCCTTAGATAATTGAATGTTGTATACTGAGTGATATGTATGTGACTACCAACTAACAGTGTGTGTACTTCACGCTTCAACAATATTAATACATGAAATACATATATGTTGGTATTCATATTAGTAGGCAAGCATTTCCTACGCCTTTCCTGTTATGCCATTGCACAATTGGGCTGCATGATTAGTGCAACTTATTACCATTCATAATTTTGTTTGTAGTGCATGAATTAATCTTGTGATATGTTTTACTACAACTGTAATCATTGCATGGGTGCTCTGTTTTTTAAGTTAATAATTATATTGTATGTTGTGTATTTCACACCACTGTATGACTATATTGTATGACTTCGTGCAACGGGTTCTACTCAATGTATGATCGTATTGTAAGACTTATGTAACAGTCATACTGTCTATAATAATGATGTATAATTTATTGTGTGATGTTTGTAATACTGTTTATTACAATGTTGTATGATTGCTTAGTACGAGAAGTGTATTACTGTCTATATTATTATATGATAATGTAGTTTGAGGAGTGTAAATATGTCTATTATATCAATGTGTGATGTAATGTATGATGAGTGTTATACTGTCTATCATCATAATTATCACCGTATAATGACTGTAATAGTACCTAGTATGTCATTGTGTATTGTTTATTGTACTTTATGGTATGATGCGTGTACTATTATCATTCTCTTATGTGTGTGTCACTATGGAAGGGTGTGACCATGAGTGTGAATGCATTTTCTGCTCTTTCAATAGTGTATAGTGTTGAATTGTACGTGTATTGTTCGTTATTTCTGTAACTCTTCATTTTTGGAGGAAATAAAGGAAATAATAATTACAATAAGTTTATATAATAATCCTATTTTTTATGTGAATAACCCTAGCGACTAAACAACGACTGATCTGAGTACATGTTGACTAAATTAGATGATCTCACCACACGGGCTTTCTGAACAATGTTTACTTGCCGAAATATACACAATTGAAGTTCCAATCTAATCCCGATTCATCGGGCCGAAGATTAAACATAGGCGCATCGAGGGAAAGGTCGTGATTAAAAGCTTGTGTAGCTTTTTTTTTTCATCTTAAAAATATCAGATAAAAGCATAGTGGCATGTAAGATAAAAGATACAAGAATTTTACGTTGAATATAAGCTCTCGGGAGCTTGTAATAATATTAATAATAATAATAATAGATATGGACTCAAGGTCGACCAACATTATAGATATACAGGTGAAACGGCCAGGTATCACACCAAGCTCTAGCCAGGGAAAAAATAACATACTTCCAATTGGAAAAGAAGTATTTTCAAAATGAACCTGTAATTGTATTAAATAATTAAATTGGTATCGATATAAACGATCCAGTCTATGTATCAGTATAAATATACTACAGAAACTGTAGGTACTAGTGACCTATTTCCCCTTCTGTACGTATATAAACACTTCATTTATTTCAACAATCATGAAACAAGTTATTGCAACCTTTATCAATCACTCTCGCTGGCCTTTATGTTAGCTCGCGGGGGTCTTAA